TTTTAAAGTAATTGAATTTCTGTGAAGAATTTTATTATTTGTGAAAATAATTGAATTTATGTGAAGAATTTTATTATTTGTCAAAATAATTGAATTTTAGCAAAGAATTTTATTAAAATTTTTTTAAGGAATTGAATTACAATTGTATTGGAAATATATGAATTTTTATAAATAAATTTCATTAAAATCTTTAAAAATAATTATAACTTCTTTCCCAGAATTTTATAAAAATTGTTTTAAATCATTAATTTCTTTGAAAAAAATTTATGAAAATTGTATATTAAATAATTAAATTTTTGGGAAAAATTTTATTAAACTTCTTTTTAATAATTGAAATCTTTTGTGAAATCTTATTAAAATAGTAGATATTGAAAATAATTTAATTCTTGCAAAAATTTTTTTCATTTCTAAGAATTACCATTAAAATATTTGAGAATAACAAAAAACAAAAGTATAAACAAAAGACAACTTCAGAGTGTGAGAGACAGAAAAAGTGAATGAATGAAAGAACATTCAAATTATTATAGTTAATTAATAATTAATAATTGTTACATTTTTATTATTCTTAACATTTTAACAGTTATTAAATAATAATGTTAACAATATTACAAATATTATTATTAATTTATTAACAGTTTTTTATTTTCGTATTTTTATCAAATTTATATGATAGCAAAAAAAAATTTTAATAAAAATAACCATAATAATAATAATGATAATAATAATTTTTTTCTTGACTTTTTTTCTTTTTTTTCTTATTATTCGTAAAAATTATGACTGTAGAGTAAATTGATGGTAAATTTGCATCGAGTATAAATTATTGATCAGGGTGAAAAGCTCTCAAGCTTCATCACATCTCGGTATTTTGAACACCTGCTTAACTTCCTATTAATTTTGGATCGTTGACTAACTTAAATATCTAATGCGCAATGGAGGTCTTCTAGTTACCGAAAACTCGACAGTTCATAGAAGCTTTCAAAGGTAAATTTACCTCAGATCTATTGAGATTAAAGTAAATTTCGCACAATCTTGTATGCATGAATTAATTATTTCCTATCATGTTCCATGTTTTTTGATATATTTTGTTCCAAAAGGGAAAGAAAAAGAAAGAGAAAAAATAAAAAGAAAATATAATATTTAATTTTAAGTGGAAATTGTAATTCAGTAGAAAATATAAAAAAAGTGTTTAATATCCGTCCCATCAAATAAATTATTTTTATTCTTTTGTTAATAATTATTCTGTGGGATTTTTAAAATTATTTTTTATTACTTTTTTATTTTGTAATTATTTTTTACTATTATTATTTTTATTTCGTTATAATTTTTCTAATTACTTTTTTTTATTTTGTAATTATTTTTTACTATTATTATTTTTATTTCGTTATAATTTTTCTAATTACTTTTTTTTATTTTGTAATTATTTTTTACTATTACTATTTTTATTTTATTATAATTTTTATTACTTTTTTATTTTGTAATTATTATTTTTATTTTGCTATTTATTAATACTACAGAATAATAAATAAAAAAAACAGACAAATTATTTCTGTTCTGTCAAGTATAAAGAATTACTGAAAAATAGCAGAATTTCTTTTTTTTTTAATTGAAAATTTGCGAAAACTTTAGTTTTTTTTTTGACCTAGCCTTTATTAAAAAAAATTGTAGCCTTTGCTGACGTGACTTTGTCTTTTTGTTACTTTGCACAAGAAAGAGAAAAAAAAATTGCTTTTGTAGTGACGCGACGGAAAACCGCAATAAACTAGTCTTACTACTATAATGAACTTATCTCTCCTCTGACTTTACAATAGATTAATGGTAGTTATTAATTTTCCGAGGCGGATCTAACATTTCCGAAGACGATAACCTCTCTTAGAAATTGGATAATACCCAGAGCGGAATTGCGGGAAAGGAACATTAATATTGTTAACCTCACACATATATTGAAATTTTTTTTTTTTGAAAATTTTTTTCCCCCTCAATCGATCGTAAGAAGAAGCAGAATTTTTGTATATAAAAAAATGTTTCCAAAAATTATTTTTCTCTTTTGTCGTTTTTTCTTTTCTTCTATTACCTTTATTTCTAAAAGTAAAATTCTAAAAGTAATGAACTTTTCCCGTAAAATGTATGATTAAAAAATATTTATTTTTACCGCGATAAAGAGAAAAATTTTGTCCGAAACAAAGAAAAATGTTTTTAATGAATTTAAAAAAAACTCCATGTAATATATTTTTTCTGGTTACTTTAATAATAAGTTTCTTTCAGTAAATTTTTTTTCTGAAAAAATAATTTCTGTACAATAAAAATTGTTTCTAAAAAAAAGAATTTCTCACAAAATGAGAATAAATTTTTAAATGCTTTACGATTAAAGTAAAATATTCTAGTTGAGTGGAAATGACATTTAAAAAATACATATGAGAACTTTTTAATTAACAGAGTTGAAGAATTTTAATTTGTAAATTTTCAAAGGTTTATCATTAACGTGGAGGGACAATTACTGAATTTTCAAGAGAAAAAATTTTCAGTCATTTTCGATTGTAATATTTTTGTGATTTCTTTTTTTTTAATGTCGAGCAATAATCGAGAGTTTTATTTTTTTTCGAGAAATAAAAAATTAAAGAATAAAGAAATAAAAATAAAAAAAAGAAATAAGGATAGCGATTTCAATAATAAAAAAATTGTTCATTCCTTCATTTTGGAAAAATTTTCTCTGCACTTGACTCAACAAAGTATTGTAATTAAAAATTTTCAAGAACCCATTAAAATTGTCTCTCATTTTGACGAATATAATGAATTTGAATCTAAAAAATTTTTATTGTTTTCAATTGTTTTTAATAATGAAAAGAGTTTTCAAATTGTAAAAAAGTCAATATAATTTATTTTAGTAGAAGTTGAAAATTTAAGTTTACATTAAGTGCATCTAAGGAGTAAATAAGTAAATTTAATTTACCGTAAACTGTAAAATGAGAAACGTCAGTTCATTTCAGTAACACAAGTTCCAAGATTCGTTTTATAAAATTCAAAGAACGAACTAATATTTTAAATGAGTTTCATTCAAGAATTAAATGAATACGAAAGGAGTTTCATTTTGTGATGATGAAAAAAAAATGCTTACGAATTTTATATATATATAATTTTTTTTTCACTTGCAAACGAGACTCTCTCTTGAAGGAAATTTCTCCTTTTGTGTTTAATGGCAAATTATAACTTTTTAAAGTGATGAAAGGCAACATCAAAAGTTCACGATTCCTTTTTTTTTAAAGGACGATGAAAATGTAATGTATCCTTTTTCTTAATATATCTCCTGAATAGACATTTCTTTCTCTCAAAGTATATTCCTTGTAAAATGAGCGTTAAATTTTTTTATTACAAATTTATTTTTAAAAAAATGTTTCATTTTTCTTTAAAGTTTAAAGCAAAATTTAAAAAAAAGAAGAGACGAATAAAAAATGTAAATAAAAATAAAATAAAAACTATAAAAAAAACTATAATGACTATAAGTTTATAAAAAATGAATAATAATAGAAAAATATAAATCAAATAAAAATATAGAAATAAACAAATAAAGCAAGGAAATTATAAAAAATAAAAACATTAAAAAGTAATAAAAATAACAAATAAAAAATAATAAACAATAAATTATAAAATGAACGAATGCAGAAATAAAAAATAAAGATGTAAATAAAATTAGTTATAAACAATAGTAGAAAATTAAGTAAATGGAAATAAAAATAAAAAAATAATGAAAGAACTGAAAATAAAAAAAATAAATTAAAAACTATTCTCTTGGAAAGTATCGACAGTATAAAATATAGATTTTTATCTTAAAAAGTAGACTTTACATTTTTTTTTTTTCGTTAAATTTCTTTAAAAGCAGTTTTACAAATAATCGCCATAAAAAGATGAGAAGGGGCAAAAAAATGAGACAATAGTCGCATATATTCTACAAAGAATATCATTGTGTGGAAAAGTTTCTATGAAACCAAAAGATGTCATAAAATTTTAAACACGGAAATGAGATTTTCACGAAAGGGAAATAAAATTCGCTTGATAATTCCGGAAAAAACTTTTAAAGAATAAATGCTTCGAATTTATGTTTTTCTAAAAAGTTCCACTTGAAACGTGTGACAAACAAATATAATAAACATTTTCAAAAAAAAAAGAAAAAAAAAAGGAAAAGAGAAAACTTTCTTTAAGAAAATTTTGTTGAAATATTTAACGACGAAATTTCTCGATTCACACAAAAGAAAATCAGGTACTATTCATAGAATAATAATTTCTTAATTTTTCAGAAAGAGTAGAGAAAATTTAACAAAGTTGTAAATATTTTCTTTTACTTTATTTTCAAAAAATTGTTTTCTTTTTTTTTCTTTCTTATGTATTTTTTTGTCTCTCATTTTCTGTTTTTTTTAATTATTTCTCTCTCTTTTAATTTTTTTTTCTTTTTTTTCTCTCATTTTCTATTTTTTTTTAAGTTTTTCCCTCTTTTATAATTTCTTTTTCAGGTTTTCTTTTTTCAGGTTTTAAATATTAAATATAAGAATGAGAATATTTTTATCACGTTCTATTTTGATAATTTCTAGTCGGTATTTATTAGTCGTAAAGTAGTAAGTGCCTGTTTTTGTTCAGACAATTAGTAGTTAAACCATTGTTTTCGTTTACCGCAGACTTAATATTTTTTCCGTCTGACCTAAAATCGACTGTTTCACTGCGAAGACTTAACTATCAGCAGAGAGCAATAAAAAAAAACGTTTATTACCCACAAAATAAATCTACTGAATATTTTTTTATAGAAAAAAAAGTAAATAAACAAACCAGTAAATAAATAAATTACTTAATAAAAGTAAAAGAAATTAAAAATTATGTCTTTTTTTTATGAACAAAATAAAAATTGACGAGGGATTAAAAATAAAAAAAAAATTGAAATTCACTGTCGAGAAAATAAACTGTAGGGAAAAAATTATTAATATGAAAAAAAAAATGTTTTTTTGAAAAGCACTTACTCAACCATATCAGCTTCTTTAGCAACTCGACAATGTACTCCTCGATCCATCAAGCATTTGCCAGTCACTGGATCCGGTGGTGCCAGATTGATGTAAGGTGGTTCCTCCAAAAACGTGATTTTCAAATAAAATTTCTCCGGCACACCCTGAGGTGGTGTATGTGTATTACCCGGCCACACTATATCCTTTATATACAAACCCTCTTTTTCCCATGATTTCCACGCTCCAATCTGAAATTAAACGAAAAAAACAAAAATTTATTTATTTAATATAGAAATTTTAATTAAAAATTAAATTAAATTAAAAATATTAAAATTTTATTTAAATAAAAAAAAATGTATAAATTATCATCGATTATCGTGGAAATTACAATAAAGTCTTACAATTATGATAAAAATAATAATATCAAATTACACCCAAGTGTTAAAGTTCAAATCGTAATAAAACAAATGGAAAGTGAAATAGACACGAAAGAAAATCGATTTAAACGTAAAGTTAATTGTAAATAAAATTTACAACTAGCGTGTCAGCTTTGGAATTTATTTGATGCAGTTTGTGTTCTATGTTTAATTGTTGACGATAAATTAATGCTACAGTGAATACGTCTACAATAGCAATTAAAATTCAGTGAGTGTGAAACTTTCGACACTATACAATCGTTTATTATTATCAGTTGGCACAATAAAAGAAAATTTATTTTATTTATATAAATGACAAATAAAAAAATATGGAAAATTAATAAAACTTTATTAACTCGTTATTGCCATCATTTTTTGTTTTTATTTTTTTGCTTCAAAAAACAAACGTTTATATGGAATAAATAAACAGTAGTAAAAAGTAAATCATTAATAAGAATAAATAAAAAACAAACAATTTAAAAAATTAAACGAATAATAAAAGAAAGGAATAACAATAAAAAGTGAATCATTAATAAAATAAATAATAAAACAAACTAAAAATACCTATAATTTTGAATATAATGGAAAAAAAAATAACAGAAAATTTTTTGGTTTGATTAATAAACGATTTATAAATAAAAAAAATATTCAAGTTATAGTTTATTTTAAATAAATAATAATTAATCTTGGTTTTGTTTTAAATCTTCGGTTACATGTATACATATTTGATTTTTGTTTCACATAGCCAGATGACATGAACAGATAATTTAATTTTTTTTTGTTTATATGTCATGTTTTTATGATACCCTTCATAAAAAGAATTATATAATCTTTTGGGATTAATGTATCAAAAGTCGATATGAGAATGAAAAATATTAAAATATTATACACGTAAACTCGTAAAAATGTAAATTTTTTTTTTATGTTCACACATAAATAATAAATAGGGGATTTTATATAATATTCGATAAGGAAATAAACAAAATCGATATTCACCTCGACAAATATTTTTTTGTCATATTTCACATTCTCTGGACTTAATCAAACAAACGATATTTTTGTGATTGAAGATTCCATTTATTATTTATTTACTAGTTTTATATTCAATTAAATATATTTTTTTTTCATTACTTATCGTGTATGATTTTTTTATTATTTTTTTATAATTATTACTATTATTTACTAATTATGTTTATTTACTGATTACTATTGTTCACCAATTATTATCATTTACTAATTACTATTTTATATTGATTATTATTGTTTACAAATTATTATTATCACAGTAAATCGTTAGGTATTAAAAAGTGTTACAGATTAAATTAACACCAAAAAGGATTAAAATAAACAAATTTTGGTGTTATTTTTTACAATGAATGAAATTTTAGTTCATTAAATTTTTTTATAACTATAAAACATGAAGATATCGATAACTCCGAGTCAAAGACTCGGAGTCATCGATTTCTTCATATTTTATAATAATTAAAGATGACCAAGTAATAAAATCATTATTTTATATTATAAGAGTATTATACTTTTTCAAAATTATTTTCATTATTTCAATTTAATTATTATTTTCCACAAAATTTTTAACTACAATTTTACTTTATATGTATTATTTTTAATAATTTTCAAAAAAGTTCTTTGGCAATTTTCAAATAAATTTGTTTACAATATTCAATTTCACAAAATTTCAATTATTCCTAAATTCTTTAATTAAATGCATATATTAGAAAATAAAAACTTTAAATAATATAAAAGAAAATTCAATTAAACTTTTAAAAAAAAATTAATTTCAAAATTCAATTATTTCTAAAAATTCGCGCTATATTGCTTTTAATATTCAATTATAATCTAAAATTTTAACTGAAATTTATTTTTATGAAATGAAAACCAATTTTTATTGCAAAATTCTACAAGAATTTAATTATTTAAATGCAACAAAAAATAATTTATTGAATAATTGAATATTTCTCAAAACTAAATTCTCATAAAGAATTTTAGTAACAAATTTTTCAATAATTGAATTCTTTTTGTCGAATTTTATTAAAATTTGCATGAACACAATTACTTTTTTCAAAGAATTCAATTATAATTGTATGGAAAATAATTGAAACGCCGCAATGAGTTTTATGAGAATTTTCAAAAATTCATTTGTTTACAATTCAATTTTACAAAATTTCAATTATTTGGAAATTCTGCAATTAAATATATATTGAAAAATAAAAACTTGAAATAATTTTAATAAAAATCCTATAAAACATTTAAAAAGAATTACTTCTACAGAATTTTTTGTCAAAAATATGAAAAATTAAGAGTTTTACTGATTTTAGTTTAAAACTTTTTCAAAATTTAATTATTTCTAAAAATCCACGTTATAATGCTTTTAATATTTAATTATAATCTAAAATTTTAACTGAAATTAATTTTTAAAACTATTTTTATTAGTAATTTCTACGAGAATTCAATTATTTCTAAATAGAAAAATAAATAATTTATTAATTTCATGTTTCTTGAAATTAAATTCTCATAAAAAATGTTATCAACAAATTTTTTAAATCATTAAATTTTTTGGACGAATTTTAATAAATTTTTTAAGAATTATTGCATTTTTCGAGGAATTCGATTAAAATTGCATTAAAAATAATTGAAATTCAGCAATGAATTTTATTATTTATGAAAATAATTGAATTCCTAAAAGAATTTTATTATTTATAAAAATAATTGAATCCCTGTAAAAAAAGTTATTATTTATGAAAATAATTGAATTATTGCGAAGAAATTTATAAAAAAAATTTGTAAATAATTGAATTCCTGTAAAAATTTTTATTATTTATGAAAATAATTGAATGTTTGCGTAGAATTTTATTGAAATTTTTTTTAATAATGGAATTCTTTTGTAAAATTTTATTGAAATAGTTGATATTCAAAATCATTGAATTTTAAAAAACTTTTGAAAATAATTGAAATTTTGACAAGAATTTGATTAAAATTTTGTAAAATAATTGAATATCGGAGAAGAATTTTATTATTTATAAAGAGAATTGAAATTTTGATAAGAATTTTTTTAAATTTTTGAACACAATTGAATTTAGTAACTACGTTACTAAGTTAGTTAGTAAATTAGTAACTAACTTGCTAACTTACTATTCTCCACGGAGAAGCTAAATTCGTTAAATTTTTACAAATCGTTGACTTTGGTGTTTTATTTAAAGTAAAATTTCATTCATAGTTAAAAATAACACCAAAATAGATTATTTTAATCCTTTCTGGTGTGATTTTAACACTTCACGTTTTACTGTGATTCACTAATTACTATTTTTTACTGATTATTTTTATTTACTGATTACAATTGTTTAGTAATTATTATTATTTAATAATTAATATTTTTACTTAATATTAATAAGTAATAACACAATTATATTTGATATTTTAATATTAAAATTACGATATTTCATAATTTATAGTAATGAAAAAAGTAAATCAAAGTTATCGATTTTCAATAATCGAGGAAAATGAATGTGCGACAGAATAGTATATATATATACATATATATATTAAACTAAAAAAAATTGCTTATTCAAAATTATACTCTTTCTACGTGGAAAAAAGTGTACTTTTATTCCTACTTTTTTTTTAACTGCCAACCATAGCGATGTTTATTAGTCAATATTCTGCCTGACATTCAACCATCTTTCCTGAATGCACTTTCATATATCAAGAGATGGTACTTTATACGACAATATTTATTCGATGCATAACATCTCCCTCTCACTCTTTGATGTGTAAAGGACAAGAAGAAGCGAAAAAAATTAAATTATTCATTTGATGTGCAAAATTTTCTCGAGAGAATTTTAATTATTCTTTGGTTTTCCTTGTGCCCATATATTTTGGCGAATTTTTAATTTAGAAGCAAAAACAAAAAAAAAAAATGCACAAAATTTTGCATTGGAGAGAAAATGTAAATTATAAAATTTAATTTAATGAAACTGATAAAAAAGACATTTTTCATTATTATATTGTAATAAATGGAAGATTTTGATATTATTTAATATTAATAAATGGAAGATTTTGATATTATTTAATATTAATAAATTTTGAACCCCAACTGTGATAGTCACTTGTCATATCCAATTGTTTGGATATCTTGCGGAAACCTATTATGAAGTTGTGATTATGGGCACAAAGCCAAACTGTCGTGTTTCATAGGCCATTTGAGAATCTTATATGAAGGAAAATCTCATTTAGGAATTCTGAATTTTTGAAAACGGGTACTTTTTGCAGAAAAAACAAATTTTTTTATCTCCTCGCTTTTCTTGCAAAGTTAGAAACAAGTTATAAAAACTAAAAATTTACTCGGCAGGAAATTATAGAAAATTTATAATATAAACTTTGAGCGAAGCAATAAAAATGTAGTAAAAAAATAATAATGAGTAGAAAAAGTAATAAAAATAAGTTAGGTATAACAATTAATAAAAAATGATGTAAAACATATGGAAATAATTCGAAGTATTATCAAGAATTATTAAAGAATATAAATAAATGTGAAAAATACATTAAAATGTGAAATAAATGTAAAAATATAAAAAATAATTAATTTAAACAAAAATCAGAAAAATTTAAAAAAATAAAAAGGAATTATGGAAGGAATGTCTGACTAAAACGCACTGTTACTACTGAGGAGACTTAATGCAGTACTTATGGAAAATTTGTCTGACTTTTACTGCATTACACTACTTAGTAAAATTGCAGTCTGACTAAAAATGTATTTTTCTACTGATACTAAATTTACAAATATTCCAAATTATACCAGTCTGACTAAAATCGACTACTACTACTTAGAAAATGGTTACAAGAAATTAAAAATATTTTTCTGACCAGAATTGACCTTTACTACTGAAAATACCATTACACTAAATTGTGAATGACTTGTCTGACTAAAACTGACATTTACTACTAAAAAATAAAAAAATACAGTCTGACTGAAAATGTCTTTTTTCACTGATATTAAATTTACAAAAAATTTAAATAATAACTGTTGGACTAAAATTGACTTATACTAATAAAAAGATTACAAAAGTTATGAAATGATATTTGTCTGACAAAAAGTGGTCTTTACTACTTAAAGTATCATTAACTAAATGATGAATCGCTCGTCTGACTGAAACTGACCTTTACTACTAAAATTACAATGACACATAATTATGAACCACTTGTCTGACTGAAACTGTCCTTAACTACTAAGACTTTTGAATAAAGATCTTGTTGTTTTACAATAAAAAAACATAAAAAAAATATTTTAATGAAAAATGAAATATTCTAAAAACAAATTAAAAAACTCTAAGAGTAAAAAACGAATCAAACAATTTAAAGTAGTTAAAAATTAAAAACGAGTTAAAAAATTTTAAAAATACTAAAAGTAAAAAAACAAATAAATAAAATTTTAAATATTCTAATAGTAAAAAAAAACAAATTTAAAAATTCGATTAGTAAAAAACGAATTTAAAACATTTAAAAAATACTAAAAGTAAAAAACAAATAAAATTTTTTTTAATTTTCTAAAAGTTGAAAAAAAAATAAAAAACAAATAAAAAATTTTTTTAATCTTCGAAAAGTTGAAAAAAAATAAAAAACAAATCAAAAATTCTTTTAATCTTTAAAATGTTGGAAAAAAATAAAAAACAAATAAAAACATTCTAAAAGTAAAAAAGCAACTCAATATCAAATTCCCAAATATTAAAAAAAAATTCATATTTTATGTCTATTTATGGAGAATACGATTTTTCTCAAAAAAAAAAAGACAAGAAAGAAGATTGTTTCTTCGTTGTAAGGAAAGGGTATTTTATTTTTAAGAGAAGTGTAATCAGAAAATTATTGTTGGTAGTTTGTGTCAAAGTTTGAAATGATACTCGAGTCTCGCGAATCAAGTAAAAAGGAAAAACTTATTACAAACAAGAATAAAAATTCTCAGTATATGTCGAACGACCGAAAGCTTTTACAAAAGTGCTTCAATCTAAAAGGGATTCAACGAACAAATTACACACAGGAATTTATGGTTCATGACCAGAGAAAGTTCTTATAAAAAAAAAAAACGAAAAATACTTCTCTATGAGAAAGCAAAAATGTAAAAAGGAATATTTTTACCAGACAGAAATACATAATTTTTTTTTTTCCTCCTAATTTTCTTATATGTGAAGAAAAGTTTCTTTAGAATTCTCGTACCGCGAGTTTTAGTGCGCAGTGTATTAAAATTCGAAACGAAAGAACTTATCACAAAAATATTTGAATGTTATATAAGTTTTTTTTATTATTTTTCATTAAATATTTTTTTTATTATAATTTTTATTTTCCGTTCTTTTAAAATTCTGTGAATTCGGTACTAGTAGTAAAAATCAACTTTAGTCAGACAAAAAAAATAAATTTAATTTAACCTATGAAAAAGAAATATTTATTTTCTTATTAAACAGTTTTAATTAGTGCGAATATTTTCTAAAGCATTACAAAATAATTTTTACATCAAAATTCCGCAAATTTTCCAAAATACAAAATTGATTAAAAGTGATTACATAATGAAAATAGAATCTGGAAGTGGAATGTGATAAAAATAGGTAAGAAACCGCTATTGTGATGCGTGTTATTGTTGGAATGTTGGTATTTAGCGTATGTGAACCCACAGGGCATTTCCGATAATTGCCTAATTACTTGTAGCGGTTTGCAAATTAATACCAGACGCCTAGTATCAAAACAGCTGTGTGCATAATATTATTTAAAAAAAAAAAAACTTGAATTTTTCACCTAATTAGTGGTTTATGTAAACATTTAATTAAAAAAACAAGCAAAAATTCGTACAAGGTGTAAAAAAAACTGTATTTATTTTTTCCAGTTTTCTTAACTTTTCTTGTTTTTCTTTTTGTGAAATATTACAAGAAACTTGGAAATTATTTTTAATTTCACAATTTTCAATACTATAATGAATTACTTTTCAGAAAAATTGACAAAATTAATAATTAATAATTAAAATATATTTAAGACAATTTGCTCTAATATTCTAGACATTTTTTATAAAGTTGCGTATTTTAAAAAGAGATCTAAAAAAAATTTTAATACTTTGAGATTACTAACCTCCTCCCAAACAAGTTGCTTGCTCACTCCGGGACGAAGATTCATTATTTTTAATTCTGCAGCTTTAAGAACACCATCTTGCGTAAATTCGATGTTTGGTTTGCCAGGATCGCTCTCAACTGAGACGTTTTTTAAATATCTGGAAAAATATACGAAATTATTTTAATTGAAAAAAATAATAATAGATCCTAATGAGAGATTTTTGGAATAAATAATAAAAAATATTTTTATAATTAAAAAAGTATTGGAAAATAATTAAAAGTATATTAAGAGTTTTAAAAGGATGGAAAAAAATTGAAAGTCATTTAAAAAAAATTGAAAAAGCATTGTGAAGTGTTAAAAAATAGTCAAGATTATTTTTTAAGTACTTATATGGTCAAAATCGCGGAGCATGTAACGTAACAGTCTTTTTGTTTTGTTCATAACTTTTAAATAACAAGGAATTAATAAATTTTTATGTTTGCATCTTAAAATATATATTTTTTTTAACAATATTGCATAGGAATATAAATTTTTTTGTATTTATCAATTAAAAGTTATAAACGTTTTAAAAAGAATGTTACGTTACAAAAGTTTCGTTTTTCGCGATATTGACAATATTCTCAAATGCTTTTCAATATTTTCTAATAATTTTATTTCTTTATAAATATTTTCCAATCAAATTTTACAAAAATTTTCCAATATTTTCTATTTGTCATATTTGATATTTCTCAATATTTTAAAATGTTTTCCAATATTTCCAAATATTTGGAATATTTCTAAATATTTGAGAATAATTACAAATAGTTTTGAATAGTTTCCAATATTTTATTTTTAATATACGAATATTCATCTACAAAATAGAGAAATTTTTGTTTATATTTGAAAGTTTTTTTAACTAAAAGATGAATTTTTGATCTTTCTTCAATGATTGAAGAATTTTTAATGTCAATTTAAAAAAAAAATACATTTTTTACTACATAAAAAAAAATAGAAATAGAAAAGTAATAATAGAAAAATATCTAAAGAGAACAGAACAATTAATTTTAGAAAATATTTTGTAAACAAATAAAATAAAAGAAAAATTTAAGACATTGAGAATGGATCATTTTTGCGAAATTACGACTCTACTGAAGCATAAAATTTTATTTTCAACCCTCGATTTTTATTTTCCCCATTATTTTCTTATTTTAAAATTCAAATAGAAAAAATTTATGAATGAAATTTATTGACAATTTGTGGTAAAAATAAAAAAAAAAAAGAGAGGAAAAAAAAATGAAACTCACTTGAAAAATCGGTCTCCAGTGTCCCATCTTGATTCCCCGGGACCGTCACAACTCAGACGTGTGTTTAAAACAAGATTTGAGTTTGCAGGGTCGTTGACAAAATCCTCCACTCCATAAGCATATACTTTTACTGCCGTTGCTATTTCGTTCACCAAACTAGTACTACTTGTATTGAAATGAACGCCTGGAAAATAAAAATTTCATTATATTTTTCTCTGCAAAATAATAAAATTTTTCCTCTTCTAAAATTATTTTATGATATAAATTTATCCTTTATTTTTTCTATTATTTTTTTTTCATTATTAACAAAATGAAATTAATACTAATTTTTCTTTTTGCTTTTGTCCTTTTTTCCACCACTTTTTACTTTTTTAATTACTTCTTAATAAATTCAGTCTTTGAAGAAAAGAAAAAGACTAAACAGTACAGATTTTCAGTAACAAATAAAAAATTAAGACAAAAAAATTTATTTAGATTTGAAAATTTTTCTCTAGTTTGAATTCATCGGAGTTTATAAATATAAACAAATGATGACATTATTATTTTTTAAATTATTTTTACACTAAAAAATGACTACTATTGTTGATAATATAATTTCCTTTCAAAATTCTTATACTTAAAAAAACGAAATTTTGTTTACCACTAAACTACAATTAAAAAATATTTGTAATTATGTTTTAAATGAGAAAATTTTTTCTGAAATTACTTTTCAGAGATATATAAATAAATGGAGAATTAAAGTTTCTTCTAATCTTGTTTTAAGTATATATCAGAAAGACTTAATCTTTTTAGTAAGAAATCAAGTTGAGAAATGTACTTCGTGACTAGCGTGATTTAAATAATTTCCAAGGCACTCTTTAGAACAAATTATTTATGTGCACCAGGAAACCGGAAATCGATCTCTCTCCACGCCTCTCTATTCTTGTTTCCGAGAGCAAATTCGACTAACAGAAGACTTGCGGTTACAAATCTCGTCTATTTCATTCTATTTAGACAATTAATCCAAAACTTTGCCTGATTCGCTCTAATTCTTTAATTTCATTTCATTATTTCATTTATAAATCAATCAATTGTCTTTAATAATTATTTTATTCAATTCATTTAAATTTAGTAATTAATTTAATATTTAAATTATTAGCAAAGAAAGTAATTAATATTTAAACATTTTCACTGTATTTCTCAGTTTTTGGTAAATAATTGTTTAATAAATTTCTGTTAATGATAAACAAAAAAAAAAGTTTGTTTATTTTATTTATTTTCTTTAAACAGAAGTTATTTCCTTTTTTAATTGAAAAAACAGAAGTCGACAGTGTTTAAAACAGTAAATAATAAATATGAACAAGGCAATTTACGAAGACATCAGGACTTCGTAAAATCGAATTTTACGAGGATTATACATTAAACACTAAAATCCATTGTTCAATGAAAATTTTCATTAATGATGTCATTGATGCCCTATAAATATATAATGCTCCTAAAATTGACTACAATAATTAATTTAACACTGTCCATAGATTCTTGTAAATAACTGAAATTTATATTTAGAATTTAATTAAGCAGATTTCCATCCCGACTAAATAAGGAATAAAATCGTAAAATTTGCAATAAAAAGACTATTTTTCCCTTCATATCTTTTATTTTCCTCACGAAATAAAAAATAAACCCTGAGAATAATGTCCCACAAAATTTTTCCCTCAATTGTCACCACGAAACTTTATTAAATTTTACCATTTGAGTTTTTGGAATTTATTTGTGTTATTTTATTTATTTTTCATTTATTTCAATAAATTAATTTGTTAATTTTTGTTATTTTTTCTCTTTCTTTTTTTATTATTAGACAAACGTTCTTCTCAATGAATATGATTTTTTTATAATTTCTTTTAAATTTTTAGTCTATTAAATGTTGAACGTTTAAATGGACGACAGTATTTTTGTTACTATTTGTAATTTTTATTTTATCAAAAAAATATTATTTCCTATATAAAAAATAACAATTTTTCATTAACAAAATATTTTTTAATTAAAAATATTAAATTAGTTAAATAATCTTTAACGTCCGAGATCCATTATAAATTAATTATAAAAAGATAATTATTTATTATCTGTGTTATTTATTTATTTTTTTTATACCAAGACGGATTATTTATTTATTTATGGTATGTTTATTTATTAATTTTTATAAATTTTTATTATTTATTATTATTTTTTATTAATTTTTCATAATTGTATTATTGTATTTCATTAATTTTTCATAAATTTAATTTTTTATACAGTGATTCTTTATTAATTTTTAATTTGTTACTAATTTCCATTCTTCTATTATTGACTAGCAACAATTCGTGCGCTAAAGCGCGCGGCTAACAATTCAATTATTTTCAAGAGTGATAAAATTCTTCTCATAAAATTAAATTATCTTTCAAATTTAAAAAGAAATTCTCGTCAAAATCACAATTATCTTTATGTTTTATAACAATACTTTTATAATTTGTTTAATTTCAAAAAGGTTTAAAATTTAAATTTTTTGAATGTCTTAATTCCTGTAAAAAATAATAATAATTAAATATTAATTTAAAAAAGAAGTTATTGATGTTTTCGAATAATTTTACAATTAAAAAAATTCGTAAAAATATTTCCTTTATTTTCTAAAAATTTAAAAAGTTTCAAGTTTATTTTTAATTAAAATTTGTAATAAACAAATAGTTATAAAATAACAATATTGTAATTGAGAAAGATTCCCGTACATTTTCCCGAATTAAAAATTGTAGAAAATAATAATTGGTTTAAAATGATGAAAATAATTTTGAAAAAGTTACTGTAATAATATCATTATAATATAAAACAATGATTTTATCATTCGGTCATCTTTAATTATTATAAAACATTCTTATAAGTTATTGAATTTAAAAAGATTTGAATTTGAATGTTTTGAAAAATTTTAATTCCTACGGAAAAATAATATTTAAATATTTATTTAAAAAAGAGTTATTGATGTTTTCGAATAATTTTTACAATTAAAGAAATTCGTAAATAAATGTAACAGAACATTTTTCTTTTTGAGTAAAAGTTTTTCCTTTATTTTCTAAAAATTTAAAAAGTTTCAATTTCATTTTCAACTAAAATTTGTAATTGACAAATAGAATAGAATATGGAAAGTTTCTTTTACAAAAAAAAATGAGTTTCTGAACAATATTGTTATTGAGAAATATAAATTATGCATAAAATGGGTATATTTCCTATTTCTTAATTTTAATTTTTTAACAATTAACAATTTTCTCATATTTTTTAGAAATAAAAAGGAGAAAAATTTTAGTCAAACGAAATTTGTTATAGAAAAAACGTATATAATAATCAAAATTTTTTTATATTTTCTAATTTCAAATATTGTTTTATTATAAATCATGAAAAAATACCTGCATTGTTTCGATCTGTCAAACAATATTTTTAAAAAAAAAAGAAATAAACAAAAGCAAAAACTAACTTCAAAGTGTGGATAGACAAAATGAAAGAGTGAAATCCAAAGATTATTATAGTTAATTATTAATTTATTTTTAATTTTAAATTTAAAATTTTTTAATTTCTCAATTATTTTTATTTTTTTTTAAATTTATTTTATGAATATTAAGTTCCTTTACAATTTTCTGACTCCAAACTCTACACCATCGTCAGGGCATAAAATTTAAGTCTTTGTCTATTTTAATTATTACTTTCTGGTAAGATAATTATCCATTAATTTTTATTTTATTTATTGTTAAATTATTATTTATTATTATTTTAATTTTGTTTATTATTTTTTCGATAGACTCCCTGAAGAGGAAATTATTGAGATTTCGAAACGTTGGAGTAAATAAAAATTTTATTCACTGTTTGATTATTTTCCTTTTATTTGCCTTAATTTAAAAATATTAAAATAAACGAAAAATTATTTTTGAATTAAACATTCTAATTTTGATTCAATAAAAATTATACGTTTAATTCAATTATAAAATATATGCAAATCAAACATATTTTTTTGGTTGGCGACTTATTTTTGAATTGAAAAAAATTTTTTTTCAGTGTATAATAAAAAAAATACTTTTAATAAAGTTGGTTGAAATCAGAAAAGATCTAAAATAGATAAATACCGAAAATAATGGAAATTATTTTATTTTAAATTAATTGAGAATTGTGTTTGATTTAGAGAGAGAGAGAGAGAGAGAGAGAGAGAGAGAGAGAGAGAGAGAGAGAGAGAGAGAGAGAGAGAGAGAGAGAGAGAGAGAGAGAGAGAGAGATAGAGAGAGAGATGTTGTATAATACTGACCGAGCATTCCAACAGGGAATTGATGTGGTGTTTGCAGATTCTCAATGACGCTTTGAGTAACAACCCAAACGTAATTTTCACCCGTAATTTTGAGATCACGTGCAGCTTTCAATATGTGAGCTGCTTCTTCCCTCGTCGAATAGAGAAGCATTACCCTTGATTCACTGTTCACTAGTTCGTGAAGATCGTGAGGTTTCGTGACCTGGACGGCATTTAAGATAGTGAACTTGAATGTGTCTTGCATATCGGAAATACGTTCTCTCACTGCCTGAATGAAATCGTCATGGCCAGCGATTTGCGATGTCACAATACTAAATTGATGCCACTTGTAACGTTCCAATATACTTAACATGGCGGCAGTTTGATGTTCGAGCGATGGCGCCAATTGAAGTTGTAAACTACTCTGCGAGGCTCGCTTTACATTTTTTGAAAAACAAAAAATTTTCATTTATTATTATTTTCGTTAATTACGAAAATTATATTTTGCAAAAAAATTATTTTGCAAAATTATTTTTTTAATTATTTTTTCATTATTATTTATTATTTTTATTTAAGTAGTAAGAAACAATAGAAAGTAGAACAGAAAATTTGATATTTAAGTAGTAAAGAACGATTATAGTCAGACAATGACGTGAAAATTAAATATTTCATTAGTAAATGACATTTTAAAAATAATATTTTTAATAATATCTTTTAAATAAAAATTTCTTAGTTTATTTAAGTAGTAAAAAAGTATTTAGTCAGACAGGGATTTATAAAATAATAATTTAAGCAGTAATATAAATTTCCTATACGAGAAACATTTTGAATTGAAAATTTAAGTGAGGAAACACTATTTGAGTCAGACAAAAGCTTGTAAGTTGAATATTTAAGTAGCAAATGTCAATTTTCGCAGACAAAATTTGTAAATTCGAAATAAATATTTGCAGTCAAGCGACGACTTGGAAATTCAAGATTTCAGTAGTAATGAGTATTTTAAGTCAGACGGAAACTTGTGAATTTGATATTTCAGTGGTGAAAAGTATTTTTAATCAGACAGCAATTATTGATAAATAATTTTAAAAAATAATGAAGTCGTTAAAGAATAAAAATTTAATAATAATAATAATAATAATAATTTAATTTCGAATAAAAGAAAAATTGTACTCTGAATAATTAAGTAGTAAAATAAATTTTCTGCTAGACGAAACGTAAAATTGTCAAAATGATATTTTAGTAGTACGACGTATTTTTAGTCAGACGACAATTTTTTAAATTAATAATAAAGTAGTTATAACACTTAGAGTAAGACAAGAGTTATGCTATTGATATTTAAGTAGTAAAATACATTTTTTGACAGACAAAATTTTTAGGTAGAATATTTACGTAGTAAATGTCAATTTTGTCAGTCGAAAAATATTAAATTGAAAAAAGTGATAATGAATATTAACAGGGAGACTTGTAAGTTGAATGTTTCAGTAGTAATTGACATTTTTCGTCAGACAAAATTAGTAAGTTCATTATAAGTGATGAACGATCGTTCAAGTCAGACAAATCACTGCGTTTGGAATATTTAAGTAGTGGAGGTCAATTTAGTCAGACAAAAATAGAACCTAAAAAATTGATTCAAACTGTTTAAGTCAGTCAAACTATTGTGACTTAAATATTCAAGTGGTAAACGATATTTTAGTCAGACAAAAATCTCTAAATTTAGTTTTAGTAGTAAAGATAAGGTTACAGTCGGACAAAAGTATGAAATTAAATAAAAAGTAGTAAAAGTCACTTTATTAGTAAAATACGTTCAAAAATTCGGTTTCAGTAGTAAAGGTCAGTGTTTGTCAGACAAAATTGAGTGATTTAAATTAAAACCTAAATAGAATTAGTAGAAGACAATTTTATGTCAAACAAAACCTTCTATACTCTAACAATAGTAAAAATCAATTTTTTCAGTCCGCCAACAAGTTTAATTACTCAAAAAACGTTTCTTAAAAAAACTAAAAAAATATATTTTTCTTCTAGTATAATTTTCTTTCTTTGAAACTTCAATGAATCATTGCAAAAAAAAATATCTGAACTCGATAATCCTGCGTCTTAAACTTTCGCACAATTATATTTCAGAGTAAGAAAATTGTTTTCTTTCGATTTAAATTAAAATTTAAAAAAAATTGTTCTCATAAAGTTGAAAGTGCGTTAAAAAAAGGCGAGAGAAAAATAATCATGGAAAAATAAATCGTTAGTGCACTTAAAAAAAATATTTCATTATTTCACTTGGTTAAATATATCAATGCGCACAGAGGAGACTTTAGAGAAATTGAATAATCGCTAGAAAGGTTATATCGTGGAAATAGAGAGTTATTACTCAATTTCATGAGAGCGGGAAATTTTTTTTTTCTTCTTTTTTTTTTTTGCTTCTTTGCTATGATGATATTAAAAATTGTACCCGGCTTAAAGCAATCAAGTGGAAATAATGAAAAAAATCACGTTTCCTATTATAACTCAGGGGGGGCATTTTTTTTTTAAATCTACATTTAATAAGCATATCATGTTCATTTAGTTATAAACCATAATATAGATTTATTTTATTTTTTCGCAACTTTTACCTAGGAGATAAAAAATTACTCTTTTTAATATAAACAACTAATTTAGTTTTACGCTTCTTTTTACAAACAGTTTCTTTTTACATAAAAAAACAACTTTGAAATATTTTTATTTGTGGAAAAATTTTTTTTTTTAGAATTTCAAAACCGATATCAAACATTTTTAAAACATTTTTTTTTAATCCCAAAGGAATTTTCCTTTAGGATTAAAAAAAAATGTTTTTAAAATATAATAATTCTTTACAATTATTTTTATTATAAAAATTTATTTTAAAAAAGAAAACAAAAAACAGGCAGCATTTTTTTGATGACTCAAAACTAGTTACTGAGTAAGATAAAAATTATAAATAATATGCTTTTTTTATAATACTGTACAGCAGATTGTCTGAATAATATAAAAATTTTATAGATAAGTCTAATTTAAAAAAAAAATGTGCTGTAGAGAACGTTCACAATTTTTTCTGCTGACTTAGTAAATGTTTCTGAGGAAGAGAAAAAATTATAAACAATAATTGTTGATAATAATGCCGCTCTATAATGCTGATTTTACAAATTTACAAAAAGAGAAGCAACTTCATTTTTTTTAAATTTGATAAATATTTTTTTTTTTTTTATAGAATAAATTTGTGTTGATTCCTGTTTTTTTCTGCGATAGAGTGCTAGTTTTGAAAATAAGATATTCACCCCAGTTTCTTTTTTTAAAGGAATATATAAATAAAATATTGAACCTACCCTTTCAAGACCCGAATTATCGGCATTCCATGCTATCACAGGTATTCCCAAGTAACCAGCCAGTTGTAGAAAGTATTGAGCGCTGGCCGTACTCCTCCCATATTGTTCATAGTTCATGAGATAAAGGATAGCAGATACATTGAACATGAGAAAGTCCTTACATAAAGAATCCAGAATATCTGCAACATTGAGAAAATTTTTTTCATTTTATTATTATATTGTTCTTATTATTTTTATTGTTTTTATTATTATTACGATTATTATTCTCATTACGATTATTGTTAGTACGATTATTATTGCTACTATTATTTAAGTATCATTAGGATTGTTTTTATTTTTATATTTTTATTAATATTATTTTTTCTATTACGATTTTTATTTTTATTTTTATTTTTATTATTATCATTTTTAAGATTACATTTTCTATTACCTCTTTTTTATTAACATTTTTATTGTTACCATTTTTCTTAGTATTACTTTTACTAGAGTAAAAATATTTTATCTGTAACTACAAATTTTATTATAATAGCGAAATTTTTAGTTGTTTCAGTGAAGATTTTCGCTATTCTAGAGAAAATTTTATGCAATAAAAATTAAGTTTAATAAAATTTACGTTTCTAATTATGAAATAGATTTCATTTAAAATATAATTTTTTAATTGGCTGATTATTTTTGTATTAAAAAATTTTTTTCTCAGTGTAAGCGTAAGTATAATTTTAGCCACAATAAACAATGTGGTAAATATAATAGAATTTTAATATTCCTTTAAACTACTAATACTTGTTGACATACTTTTTTTTATAAATAGCGCAAAATAGGATCATGTATAATATTTAATTTTCCCGATGCATTTTTTCTATTGACTGAAAAGAATCGTTATTTATTTATTTTTGTAGAAAATATATTTTTATCAAATCTATAAATAAATACATTATATATGAAGAACAATAGAAAACTTTGACCAGCATTTGTCAATTCTTTTTTAGTACAATTGGATCCGAACTTGATAGATTGGTAAGAGGGCAAAAAAATTGAGTTTTGTCAATTTAATATCTGCTATCGTATTTCTTTTCTGGTTCATTCTTCCTTTTTTCATATGCTCTTTCAAAATTTTCTATCTGTTTTTAACTCGGGATTAAAAAGACCAAAAGTATTTTTTATAATAGTTACATAATATTCTATAATATTCCATATTTACTAATTTTAGAGTAAAATTAGTAAAAATATTTACTAATTTGAATAAGTGACTGACATTTTACTTTTGAATTACTAAATTTTACTAATAATTTAGTAGAAATGACTATTTATTAGTAAAATTTACTAATTCAAAAGCAAAAAGTCAGTCACTAATTTAAATTGATAAAAAATGCTACTAATTCTAAAGAGTATGTTATATTTTAAAAATCATTTTTAAATAAAAAATTTTTTTTTTGAAAAAAGTTACTTCTTGTTGTTTTTTATATTAAATTGCCATTGAATTATTATTAAATTATTAAATTTAATAAGTCAATTATTAAATTGACAAGGACATAATTTTTAAAAATATAGTTAAACATTAAGTGGTAAAAAAGATTTGAGTCGGACACGAAAAAGTGAAGTTAGTAAAATTTTTATAAACATTATTGAAAAGTAAGTAGTACGAACAATTTTAGTCAGACTTCAATTAGTTTCAAAAAACAATTGAAAATTAAGTAGTACAAGTGATTTTAGCCAGTCGTCAATTAATTCCTGAAATATAATTGAAAATTAAGTAGTACAAACAATTTTAGTCAAACGTTAATAAAGTTCTTGTAAACGATTTTAAATACTAAGTAGTACACACAATTTTAGTCAGACATTAATAAAGTTATTGTAAATTTTTTCAATTATTAAGTAGTGCAAACGATTCTGGTCAGACAGTACAAAAAATTTCAAAATATCACCTACAGTTCAATCGTAAGTGGTATAAAAAATTTTAGTCAGACACGAGTTAAATGAATTTAGTAATAAAGTTCTTATAGACACATTTTTGTAAATAAAATAATTTTCTTTTTTGTTTGCTATTGAATTGAAATGATAAATGATAATTTACTATTATTATCATTATCACCCATTTACACCCGATTTTTTGAAATTTTTCTTAATTTGAAATAAAATTGTTCAAAAGTGAAAAAAAAATATTTTTCAAAAAGAAAAATTATAACAAATTGTGTTAAAATTGTAAAAGAAAATGAAATAGAAGAAAAATATGATTTCAGGAATAAAAATAATAAATGTTCTATATTTCAGATCCAAGGTAATTGTAAAAATTGATTTAAAAAGGAAATTTATTTTCTATCAGCTTTAAAAGCTCTCTCCGATAGATTTTATAGAGTATGGTATTGAAAACATTCTTCAATCGTAAAGGTTTCTTGATTTAGTTTATAGTATATTGTATATATATATATATATATATATATATATATATATATATACATACATATATATATTGTATATATATATATATATATATATTAGACAACACAAAGTCACTGAATATAATTAAGATAAATGTCTCACATGTCGACTTGAATGGCACACTTGAAAACGTTTATTAAAACGAAAAATGTTTTTCACTAAGAGAAAGCATCGCATTGCTCTTTATTTTGTAAAAAATTTAATAACGACTTTTTTGAAAGTTTACGATTCTTTTGAATTTTTAACATGTCCACAGTGTCTCAAGTCTTTAATTATTAAGAGCATGGACCAACTTTTTAAAAAAAAATAAATAGAAATAAAAAAAAATTATATAAAAAAATGAATTTAAAAACACAGTAAATCGTGAGGTATTAAAAAGAGTTGCAGAATAAATTAACACCAAAAAAGATTAAAATAATCAATTTTGGTGTTATTTTTTACAATGAATGAAATTTTAGTTTATTAAATTTTTTTATAACTATAAAACATGAAGATATCGATAACTCCGAGTCTTTGACTTAGAGTGATTGATTTCTTCATATTTTATAATAATTATAAAGATGACCAAGTAATAAAATAATTATTTTATATTATAAGAATATTATACTTCTTCAAAATTATTTTCATTATTTCAATTCAATATTTTCAAAAAATTTTAACTACAATTTTACTTTATATGTATTATTTTTAATAATTTTCGAAAAAGTTCTTTGGAAATTTTCAAATCCATTTGTTTACAATATTCAATTTCACCAAATTTCAATTGTTCCTAAATGTTTTAATTAAATGCATATTAGAAAATAAAAACTTCAAATAATATTAAAAGAAAATTGAATTAAACTTTTCTAACAAAATTAATTTCAAAATTCAATTATTTCTAAAAATCCACGCTATATTGCTTTTAATATTCAATTATAATCTAAAATTTTAACTGAAATTCATTTTTATGAAATAAAAATCAATTTTTATTAGAAAATTCTACAAAAAGTTAATTATTTAAATGCAAAAGTAAATAATTTATTGAAAAATTGAATGTTTCTCAAAATTCAATTCTCATAAAGAATTTCAGTAACAAATTTTTCAATAATTAAATTCTTTTTGTCGAATTTTATTAAAATTTGCATGAACATAATTACTTTTTTCAAGGAATTCAATTATAATTGTATGAAAAATAATTGAAACGCTGCGATGAGTTTTATGAGAATTTTCAAATTCATTCGTTAACAATTCAATTTTACAAAATTTCAATTATTCGGAAATTCTGCAATTAAATATATATTGAAAAATAAAAACTTGAAATAATTTTAATAAAAATCCTATTAAACTTTTAAAAATTGAATTAATTTCACAGAATTGTTTGTCAAAAATATGAAAAATTAAGAATTTCAATGATTTTAGTTTGAAACTTTTTCAAAATTTAATTATTTCTAAAAATCCACGTTATAATGCTTTTAATATTTAATTATAATCTAAAATTTTAACTGAAATTCATTTTTAAAACCATTTTTATTAGTAAATTCTACGAGAATTCAATTATTTAAATACAAAAATAAATAATTATCAAATATCAAATAAACTTTGTTAAAAAAATTAATTTTAAAATTCAAATAATTCTAAAAATTAAAGCTATATTGTTTTAAATATATATAATTATTATCAAAAATTTTAACTGAAATTAATTTTTAAATCAACTTTTATTAAAAAATTCTACAAGAATCCAATTATTTAAATACAAAAATAATTTATTTGAATATAAAATTCAATTCTCAGAAAGAATTTTATCAACTTTTTAAATAATTGTATTCTTTCGACGAATTTTAAAAAAAATTTTAAGAATAATCACATTTTTCGAAAAATTCAATTAAAATTATATTAAAAATAATTGAAATTTACTGATGAATTTTATTATTAGTGAAAACAATTGAATCTCTAAGAAGAATTTTTAAAAATTTCTGAACAGAATTGGATTTCTGAAAATAATAGAATTTTTGCAATAATTTGCAAACTACTTCAAAATACAATTTTTTTAGTGTTTTTAACTCAAATTCTTCTATAAATTCATTATTTTTAATAATTTTTAAAAAAATTCTTTGAGAATTTTCAAATTCATTCGTTTACAATTCAATTTTACAAAACTTCAATTATTCGGAAATTCTACAATTAAATATATATTGCAAAATAAAAACTTGAAATAATTTCAATGAAAATCCTATTAAACTTTTAAAAAGAATTAATTCTACAGAATTTTTGTCAAAAATATGAAAAATTAAGAATTTCAATGATTTTAGTTTGAAATTTTTTCAAAATTTAATTATTTCTAAAAATCCATGTTATAATGCTTTTAATATTTAATTATAATCTAAAATTTTAACTGAAATTCATTTTTAAAACCACTTTTATTAGTAAATTCTATGAGAATTCAATTATTTAAATACAAATAAAATGCAAATAAATAATTTATTAATTTCATGTTTCTTGAAATTAAATTCTCATAAAAAATGTTATCAACAAATTTTTTAAATCATTAAATTCTTTGGACGAATTTTAATAAAATTTTTTAAGAATTATTGCATTTTTCGAGGAATTCGATTAAAATTGCATTAAAAATAATTGAAATTCAGCAATGAATTTTATTATTTCTGAAAATAATTGAATTCCTAAAAGAATTTTATTATTTATAAAAATAATTTGAATCCCTGTGAAAATGTTATTATTTATGAAAATAATTGAATTATTGCGAAGA